GAGTCGGATGGAATATCTAGAGAGTATCAACGTTTCCATCAAAAGCTTCAGGACTGTTTGGGCCGACATCGAAAACACAGAGAGCTTCTGCTATCTTCACTGTGAGTCTTCAGAGGGTCCCTGTGCTGTGGAGGACGCTCGGCTCGTTCCTGTGCATGAGACGCTGTATAGCAAGGACTCTTATGGCACAATTTTACTTTAAAGGTCACCTATTATGCAAAATGCACTTTTTAATGTCTTTTATACGTAAATATGTGTCCCCAGTGTGTAAGGAGACTCACAAAGTGTCAGAAAATAAAACCCTCTCTCTTTTCCTCCTTACCCACATCTCTAAAAACGGGCGGTCATGACGACATTACTAAAATGTGGGCTGGTAGACAGCCTTCTCTCACAGAGCTCACTGCTTGCATGCGGATGCTCCAAAGGGGCGTGGCCAGCAGCAGCTCCAAAGGGGCGTGGCCAGCAGCAGCTCGGTTACATTTAAAGGGCCAGACACAGAATCAGCACTTTAGTAACAGGGCTGAAATCATAGACTGTGGGTGTTTCTCAATCGCGAGTAAAGCTGCTGCAGAGCCACTATTTCAAGCATACTACGTCATCGAGTGCCGCCGAAGTACTGTTCCAATCTCCAGCATACTTGGAAATCTACCGAGCCCGGGGTACTCCGTTTGGAGAAATATCGAGGCTGCACATGAGTAGACTCCGCGGTCTCAAAATCCCCACAATGCTTTGCGCACAGACCAATTTCCAAAATCTGTGGCGGAAAATGTAAGGCAGGGCCTATCATATGACGCACACCTGCACACTTGCTAGCCTGTTCCACTCTTTGTTTTCCAAATGTCAGGAAGTATTCTTGACTCGCTTCTGAAGCAAGATGCTCGGCAGACATGTGCTACCAAGCAAGCGTACTCGCGATTGAGAAACACCCAGTATATATAAATGGACGTAGGGTCCGTGACGTCACCCATAGGATTCTGCAGAGTTGCCGAGAAGCCCTTAGTAGGCGGAGTCGGCCACTAACGGCTCGACAGTGACGTCAGAGTCTAACTCCCGCCTGCTCCAGCCTGATCCAAATAAGGGCAACGAGGCGGAGCCGAGGCGGGACCTGCTGCTGAAGCACAAGGCGGGGCTCCAAGCTCCCGATCTAGCTGAAGCTACCAAGCTAGGCTAACATGCTCATGCTCACTTAATAAGCCTTGTTCAACATAATTTCTTTAGCTAATACTACAGCGGGCTGCAGGCGAACCAAGTCCGCGTTTCGCTGCATTCCTTGATCTCCAGTAATAACGCCGGACTCCGCCGCCGGGACGCCGGAAGCTAACGGAGCCGCAGGGGGCTAGCTAGCTCCCTGCGGCTCCGTTAGCTCCGGCCGGCAGACTCCGGCAGCCACCATTGGGATAATTGGGTCCCCTTTTAACATTTACTCCCGTTTAGCATTATGGGCGTCATAGCCATAGACTATAAAAGTCTTACCCAAGGCTGAATCATAAACTAAACTGTATATATATATATATACACATGTATAAAGGGTTACGTCCTTAGCTGGCTAATAAGCTATATAACAAGCTAAGCTAACAAGCACACAAACACCTGCTAACATGTATACAAATTATCATTTTACTCAACGAAAAAAGCTGAGAGTAGACTTCTTGGAAGTTCTGTTGGTACATTCAACCGCACAGCACGACATTTTAATTGTCTGGTATTTGTAGCAACATTCCCTAAAAGGCACAATCACCACGAACACGGCTTAAGGGTCAAATACAGTCACTACAACTAGCTAACGTTGTAGCCTAGCAGAGTGGACAAGTTGCTGTTAGCTGACAGTCAGGCACGTACCTGTCCATCAAAGTGACCACGCCCTAATTTATGCAAAAACATTAAGACCTAATATAAATAAAAGGGTCGCGTTATAAAACAATTCACTCAACAATTAATAATCATTAAGGTGGAATCTAACTATATCCTGAATATTTTGTATTGCATCCAGGGGTAGAAAGATGTTTATTTCTGCTGTAAAGTTGGGCATTTTAACATGGGGGTCTATGGAAATTCTTCCTTTCTGCAGTCATCGCCTATCGGCCAATAGATGAGCTACAGTTAGTGGCACTTCCTTATTGGCGTCCCGGCTCTGCCCCAGAAGTTGCCGCTTGGCTGAAATAGAGGGGTATGAAGCATGGGTGGTCTGTTTGGTATTTTGAGCAAAACACTTCAGAGACATGTTTTTTATATATCTGATAATATATGCCTAAAAATAGTATAAGAGGAGACCTTTAACTTCTAATGTGTATATACAAGGCCCGTCCAAAAAAAAAGTCACCAACTGAATTTAACTAAGCCAATCTGTTAGAGCCTTCCATTGGAAAGTTACGGGAGAGATAATATATTTCAGCTGGCAACAAGCTATTAACCCTAGTTAATAACTTAAGTTGTTTAGCTTCTCAATTCTTAAACAACCATGTTGGAAGACATATCCTGTGGTGGTGGAAAGGATGTTCATCAGTTTCAGGGTCAAATGATTGGCCTGCATCAAGCAAAGAAAACAACTAAGGAGAATGCTGAAACTACTAAAATGGGTTTAAGAACTGTCCAACGCATTATTAAAACCAAATCAATTAATCCAGATTTACCCTGTTCCTGAGTGGGTAAGAAGAGAGGCGGATGAAGTGATGTACCCATCATGCCTAGTGCCTACCGTACAGGCCTGTGGGGGCAGTATTATGGTCAGGTCTAGGTTCAGCTACGTTCCCAAAGAATGATGTCAGCTGACTTCCTGAATATACTGAATGACCAGGTCTAACATCAATGGAGTTTTTATTCCCTAATGGCATGGGCATATTCCAAGAGGACAATGCCCGGGGGGCTCACATGGTGAATGAGTGCTTCAGGGAGCAGGAGACATACTTTCCACTCATGGATTGGCCCCCACAGAGTCCAGCCCTCAGCCCCATTGAGAGTCTTTGGGATGTCCTGGAGAAGACTTTGCGCAGCGGTGCGACTCTCCCATCATCATGCAGGTCGAATCAATCGGGACGGGGACATCGGCATCCTCATGAAAATAAGTAAACGTCTCTCATTCATACTACCACTAGGTGTCGCCAAATTTAGAAATTATCGAATCGTATACAAAAGGGGCTTTGAGTTGAATTTCTATTTAGGCCACCAAAAAATGTTGGTTTGGAGAAAACTTCTTAAAGTGTACGTTTCGTTTTATAATAATTGCTATGTGTGGAATAAAAAAAAAAAAAATTTAACAATATGTGCCAAAATAACTCAACCACAAGTTACTTACTAAATCATCTGTACATCATACAGAATATTTATTGTATATCCTCAAAATACACAAGAAACCATAAGACAGAACACAGGGTGAGAAAAACCCTTTAAGGTCATTTGGAAAGGTCGGCACCATCCTGAACTTTAGTTTATCACACTGGCACTCGGGTCCTTGGTACAAATCAAACAAAGGCATTCTCCTTGGAAAATAATGTTGAGCTTTGATTTAACAACTCAAAACATCCACAAAATAAATAAAAGATTATTTTTTTTTTATTACACCCGTAAGCCAAAACTCTCATTGGCCTTCTCTTTTGTTAAATCTACCCAAAATATTTCACACATTTCAGAAATGCAGAACACAGGAGCTGTTTTCCATTTCCACCATACAGGCAGTTTGTTGTTCCTCTCCTCGGACAGGGTTTGGTCTATTTTCCCGGCAAAGAGATAATGATATTCTTTCAGTCACTCTGTAGCCAAACACAAGTATCCTAAACAACTGCTTCTACTCACTATGCTTTTGGCATGTTCCATTGGCCCTGTAGCAGAAAATGAGCCAACACAACAAAGCTTTCTTTCGTTTGCAGGCAACAAGCCGGTCGGCAGCATATTATTCCTGGATTTGGTAAAAATATATTTTTGATTCCATCATGAGAACTTCCACCTTAGAGATTTGTGCTCAGCTCACATCTGGAGACACTCAAGTCTTTATACAGTGTCAAAATATGGGAATAAAAAACTGCCAAGTGATGTATGAAATGATTTGGTGGTTTGCTGAAACAGCGGGACATTGTCTAGAAGTCATTTAGAGTTTAGAGCATGCCGATTATAGATGTACGCATTGATTGAAGTTGCGTTAAAAAAAAAATCCATACGTCTTGCTGGGTTTTTAAAGCCAAGATGTGTAGATTATTTCCCTTTAAAACGGTTTGTTTGAAGATGAAGATTATACACAGAAAGCCTATAAGTAAAAGCAACAAGTACTTCCTGTGCTCTGAAAACTTCAGTATGTTTCAGAAAGGTGGACAATGAGACAATATTCCTGGGCCAGGCACATTTTCTGATATAGGCAATGTCTTGAGATTCTATTTGTATCTTTACACAATGTTTTTCCTTTAAATGTATGTGTATTTCTTTTTATTTGTAAAGGCATCTTTTCAAGCCCTTAGAGGTCAGCGAGACAACTAAGGATTTTCTAAAGGACCTTCTCCCCTGTGTTTATGGTTTAAGCACAAATTGAAACATGTAGTAATGGATTTAAATAGAAATGTTACTTTCAGCATCACCTTCACACCTGCTCTGGCAGCTTTTTCTTCCCATTGTAATTATGCAATATGACAATCAATTTCAATTCAGGTCAGCGACCAATCAAGTGTCCTCAGTAATGCCTGCTGTGAAGTGCTTCAACAAGGACACACACACACACACACACACACACACACACACACACACACACACACACACACACACACACACACACACACACACACACACACACACACACACACCACACACACACACACACACACACACACACACACACACACACACACACACACACACACACACACACACACACACACACACACACACACACACACACACACACACACCACACACACACACACACACACACACACCACACACACACACACACACACACACACACACACACACACACACACACACACACACACACACACACACACACACACACACACACACACACACACACACACACACACACACACACACACACACACACACACACACACACTTCAATAAATAAGACTTACAATGTTGTAAGGCAATGTTGACCATGCATTTGTCCCAATGAACAACAAATCAAGGAACATACATTGTAACAATTTGCACATTCATTAAGAGCAACAGGGTCGCAGCTTCCCACTTTTTCGTTTTTTTTAATCAAGAGAAGTTTCAAGGCTTTCTGGGTGATCTCCTGATCCACAGGGCTCATCCCCACAACACCAGGCTCTGCTTTCTGCAGCGGGACCCCCCCTCCATTCAGAGAGCCGGTGCAACAGCAGGCTGGACACAGCGACTGGACACAGCCACAGTGGGGCTTTTGCATTGCATCCAAAGTTGGAGTTTTTTCAAGAGCTATGTGAAAAATGGAAATCCTCCTCGGAGACAGAGATCCAGCAGCCAGCTGCTCAGAGCCTCAGGACAGCCCGGAGGTCTCCAGGTAACTCTGGAGCTTCCTCACTGTACTTCTGTCCAGGGAGCAAAGGTCGAAGTCAAAAGTAGTGTTTGTGATGTGGAAGTGTCCCGTCTCTTCAATCAGGTTCACAATCTGAAAACAGAGGGGACAATCAGAGCTCTGCACTCTGCAATGAAATATCTGTCCAAACAAATAGTGAACTGGTTACAGGTTCTGGTTAAAAACATAACAGGTTAAAACAGGTTTGAATGTACTGAACTATACATAAGCCTGAGAATAATATAAGAAGAGAGGGCCATGGGACCTTTACAGCAAACTAGCACAGGGAATCCTAACCATGTTATCTAAGTGGAAAAAGAAAGAAAAGGAAAAAAGGTGCACTGACAGTTTAAAGGATTGATATTACATATCTTACACAACTTGCTGAAGGCCAGTTTGGGTCAGATATTTACTGGTGTGCAAACAAACCTCTGGAGCCTGAGGATCAGCAGCTTTATGAAGCAGGAAGTGCAGCAGAGGGGAGCACACACACATCGACACACAACCCCGAACACATGCACATTTTGATTCAATTCAGATTGATTAAAAGTTATTTAGGAAAAACTAGAAGTTCTTCACGAAGAACAACTCCTGAACTTCCCTGCAAAGCTGATGGGACATAGTTCATTTATTTATTATTATTAAAGAGGCCCTTTTCTGCTCATTTCCTCTACTTTAAAGAGTCCTCTCCTGCTGATGTTCAGGTGTATATCAGTATGTAGTGTCTCTACTTTAAAGAGTCCTCTCCTGCTGATGTTCAGGTGTATATCAGTATGTAGTGTCTCTACTTTAAAGAGTCCTCTCCTGCTGATGTTCAGGTGTATATCAGTATGTAGTGTCTCTACTTTAAAGAGTCCTCTCCTGCTGATGTTCAGGTGTATATCAGTATGTAGTGCCTCTACTTTAAAGAGTTCTCTCCTGCTGATGTTCAGGTGTATATCAGTATGTAGTGTCTCTACTTTAAAGAGTCCTCTCCTGCTGATGTTCAGGTGTCTATCAGTATGTAGTGTCTCTATTTTAAAGAGTCCTCTCCTGCTGATGTTCAGGTGTATATCAGTATGTAGTGCCTCTACTTTAAAGAGTCCTCTCCTGCTGATGTTCAGGTGTATATCAGTATGTAGTGTCTCTACTTTAAAGAGTCCTCTCCTGCTGATGTTCAGGTGTCTATCAGTATGTAGTGTCTCTATTTTAAAGAGTCCTCTCCAGCTGATGTTCAGGTGTCTATCAGTATGTAGTGTCTCTACTTTAAAGAGTCCTCTCCAGCTGATGTTCAGGTGTATATCAGTATGTAGTGTCTCTACTTTAAAGAGTCCTCTCCTGCTGATGTTCAGGTGTATATCAGTATGTAGTGTCTCTACTTTAAAGAGTCCTCTCCAGCTGATGTTCAGGTGTATATCAGTATGTAGTGTCTCTACTTTAAAGAGTCCTCTCCAGCTGATGTTCAGGTGTATATCAGTATGTAGTGTCTCTACTTTAAAGAGTCCTCTCCTGCTGATGTTCAGGTGTATATCAGTGTGTAGTGTCTCTACTTTAAAGAGTCCTCTCCTGCTGATGTGCAGGTGTATATCAGTGTGTAGTGTCTCTACTTTAAAGAGTCCTCTCCTGCTGATGTGCAGGTGTATATCAGTGTGTAGTGTCTCTACTTTAAAGAGTCCTCTCCTGTTGTCATTATGTTACAGAAGTAAACAAAGGAGTCCAACAGAGTTCAGTTTTTCAATCATTTAGCTAAAGCAGAAGTTCTTCACAAAAACAACAACTCCCAGAGGCTTCCATGCTAAGTCGATGAACTAAAGGCTCCTCCACTTGGACGCAGAGCTGAGGTCAGAATGCAGAGACAGTTATTACACATTATATCGTGAATACATTTATTTGTTGCACCTTATGCTTGCATTTTGAGTTTTAGAAGCTGCTGTGTTTAATGACATAATGTTATGGTGTAAGAGGTTAAGTGAAGACTGCCACAGAGAAAAAGCTACTCAACTATCACTTTTTATACAAGCGCACAGACATAAAGAATATACTGTACTGTGCATTGGTGTTGCATACTCTTCCTATTAAACTTTTTTCTTGTTGATAACATTTACTGACTTTAAAATAATTTTCCGTGCAGGTATTATTCGTTCTTTTTACCAAATGTTGGAATTGTAGGTTGGGAGTCCCTGAGGATTACACGATAAACAAACTACATTTCTTGGTGTCGGTGCAGTTTGAAAAAATGTGGGATAAATTACAGGAGTTTTTATGACAGGGCAGATCTAAGTCAGGCCCTGGGGCGTCCCTCTCTCACTCCACTTTTGGTGGCAATTTGGCCCGTTTGCCGTTAAGGATTCGCTTCAACTGGAAACCAAACTCCTGGCAGGCTCCTCCGTCTGAAGACATGCCATCTGCGTTACAGGGCCCTCTGTGAAGAGTGTGCAGGACAGACTGCCAGATAATCACTTCCATGTCTTGCAGCAGGAAGTGGAGCCACTTGGTGAACTCAGCGATTGTCTTGATTAGCGTGTTAAAGCTGTGCTTTGCTGGATGGGATTTAGTCTTTCCAGAGCCAGGCGTGTTGTCAGGAGAGCGAGGCAGAAGTTGGCAGTCGCTGCCTGGAGATCCAACAACACCGTCATATGATCGGCCCGGAGAATATAAGTCAGAAACACGCAGTCTCTGAGGTGGAGCGGTTAACCAAATAATTAATTGCTTCCAGATGAGAAGCAGATTACCAAGGATCTGAGTCAGATCACCGCTCCTCTTTGAATCAACAATAAACTGATAACACCGACATGTACTAGTGTTATGATGAGATCTGTGAACACTGTGGAAAGCCATCCAACACCATTTAAAAAAAAAAAAAGTATTGGAGTTTGGAAGATCCGTATTACTTTCTCAGAGAAATAAAAAATCAGGAATGTAAATGTAAATAGCAAAGTCCAAACATTTCATGTTTTAAACCAATGTGTTCAATGTTCACCTGCAGATAGAGAATCAGGGCAAAATACTAATTACCGGTAAACTTGAAGAAAAATGTTACTGATTTTACAAATCAAAGTGTATACACTTGTGTTTTCCTTAAGCCCCGCCTCCAATCTGACAGGTCACCGTTTAGTTAATTGAAAGGAAGGGAAAATAACTCTGGATTTTGCTCGTAGCGCACTATTAGACCCTAATTATTTGAATAAGGGCTATTCAAGTGTTAGAACTGGGAAGTTGATATATAGTGTAAGTCAATGGGAAAAAGTCATTTTGGGCCCAATGACGTCAAGTGACTGACATAGAATTTCTGGAACTCCAACTTACTTACCTGGGGATTTAATCTGTCCCAGCATCACTTGTTATTCAGTAAACACATCATCACGCAAAGAGCGTGTTTGAAGTATTGATTTCAATTCTATCCAGGTATTCTGCTCCTCTCCCCAGACACTTGGTTCTCATTGATGTCAATTAGACAGAAGATGTGTGGTGAGATCACTAGGATGAAGCAGAAACTGTGTCCTTCTGATTTCAGCCGCTTTTCTCTGAACGACTTATCAAAGAACTTGTTTTGAAGCCAGTGTGAGCTACTTTAAAACTCTAGCTTCTTATCTGTGCCACAGGCTAACTGTCGACAGTTTAGTTAGAGATTTAGGTAAGCATTTGGGGTAATACATGAACATGAATGTTGCTGTGACAAAACAATTTCCCAACTTGGGATAAATAAAGTATGAATCTATCTATCTAATATCGGCACCAAGTTTTGACAAGGAAAAATATTCATTGGGAGACGGGTCAATATTAATTATTAAGTGTAATACTACATGCTGCACCTTTAATTCCCAGAGAGTTAAATGGTAAATGGACTGCACTAATATAGTCCTTTATCAACCGTCAAAGTGCTTTTACATACTACGAGTCATTCACCCATTCACACCTCATTCATACAGAGCAGTGCCACCTGCTCAGGGAACAACACGCTCACACACCGTTAGCCATGCCACAGCCTTCTGGTTTAAAGACAGCGGCACATCCTCACAGCAACAGTCTCCCTGACTCAGATGATACAGTGCAGTTCCCCACACACACACACACACACCTGTTGCAGTATATGGCCCTCTCTCAGTGTCATCAGTCTTTTATGCAGCGCCACCAGCTCATCCAGGTAAGCCTAGGAAACACACAGCAACACATTGTTAGCTTTATGGACTTAGATATGACACTTTCACACAGAAACGTGATATAAGGCCCAGCTAGAGGAACATACGCTCAACCACGTCTCACCCATTCACACCAGACTCGTCCAACTGCAGCCTGTCACACAAGACGCACACATGCACAGCTGGGTATGGTTAGAACTCCTACCGCCTTACACTGGGAAATATAAATGACTAACCAACAAAACCCCTTTTTTAGCAACTACAAAAGTTTTTGGTAAATAGAACAAGACAGCTGGATTTAAATTAGAATAAATATGGTTAAGTTTCTAACCAGCTTTCAGACAATGTTTTATTCGTTTCTAACATAAATCTTACTATATTATTCAACATCTTGTAAAACTGTATTTTTCCAACTGAGCTGTCAACTTGTGCTGGTTATTCAACTACTGTTAGACTTGTACATTTGTAAGGATTTCTTTTTTTATCCAATAAATTCCCTCAAAAATAGCTTTAAGACAGAAAAAACCTTTAAACTGTCTTAAAGTTTTCTTTGCAAACCACTTTATTAAAGGTATCTGTGAAACTACTGAACTGATAACGTTTCTTTCATTATTTATGATCCCATTATGTATTGTTCTATCAAAGCCAAGTCATACTCTGTGGTCAGGAGAAGGGAAGTGAAGGCAGGAGCATTGTACTGTGTTAAACTCCATATGTTACTGAAATACTTCCTAATCTATTGCATATGGGCTGATTTGTACTGATAAACAAAGCTTTGTGTACCTTGTCACAATCTATGTTTTTGTTCTTGTCCTGCTTGCTCTGCTTGGTGGGACTCTTCACCTCCAGTATCTGACAGAGAGCAGAGTACATGCAGTCAGTCACTCTGTGTTACTTCAACCTACAGACATTACAACCTGGGTTCCCTCCTTATTATTCAATGACACTAACTAATACTAGGATATCATCTTACCTGGTTATTAGTAGTCTTTAGTAAGGGCGGGGCTTCATGACGGGATGGAGGTGAGGGGGAGGAGCTGTCACTCTCACTGCCATCACTCAGACTGACCCTGGGGGAGAAGAGAACAGGAAACAAAAGCTTCAGTATATCAGAAGAGGCTTTACATCTCTGCTGCCCGGCTGCCATGGGAGATCAAACTGCCTCCACAAGAAATTCAAAAAACGTTTTATTGTGTGGTATATTAAATCTAGCGGGTTTAACAAAAGATCACAGAGAAAAATATAAATGTAGAACATTCACTTCTACTCTTGCACAAAATATATAAATATAAGCACTTGAATGACCCAAATCACTAAAACTCAATGGTGTAGTTAAAATCCCACAGCTTCTGTATCCTGCTCATATTTGCTGCCTGTGTCATGATGACTTCTTCATGGCGTGTGGCAGCACCAATAAGCCTATTTCTAGTGACTGTTCACTAACCTGCGTTGGTGGTGTGTGTGGTGTGTGTGTGCCGGTCGCTCCATGTCAGAGTCCATGTCGTTGCCGTCGTCCTCCTCTGAATCATCGTCGTTGTCCTCGGAGTGCAGATCCTGCATGACGGACTGCAGCGGGCCCAGCACTGGGACAGAACATCCAGGTCTTTCATTATTCATTTGAAACACGAGTAATAACATGCATTAGCAGCTGAGCATGCTGGGGGGCGGAGCCTGAGGCTGCACCACTGCTGCGTCTGATCACAGCAGTTTAAATGTTAAAAAGAGTAACGCTGTTATTCTATATATCAACAGATCCTACGAAAAGACACCAACAATGAGTAGGTCAATCTCTCTGACACTCCTCCCCCCCCCCCCCCCCCCTCCCCCTCAGAGACTCTCAGCCCGAAGCTGATTGGATTCTTCAAGGTGTTCATTTGGCTTAACAATTGAAAAACATTTTCAAAGTGAATGTTATTTAAACAGGAGAGAGTATTTTAATTATTGTCAAAGATTTTTTTTGCCTTCATTCTGTAAGAAATGTGGGCTAGAACTATGGGCTAATTCTTTTTTATTTCAGCCTTTTTATTCCTTATTTGTTATTGATAGGGAACTGTTGTATTTTAGCGGATACAAAAAATTATATATACATATATACGTATATTATATATATATATATATATATATATATATATATATATATATAGATATATATATATATATATATATATATATATATATATATATATATATATATATATATATATATATATATATATATATATATATATATATATCAAATGGCAAAACAAATTCTGGGGTTATTATTTTATATATATTTAAAATAATAACCCCAGAATCCCAGATAACTGAACACCCTTGTGTACCACTCGGATATGGTGAAAGTTTATTATGTAAACTATTATGACCAATGACATAAAAAAACCTGTGGAGCCCATCTTAAACACACACTCAGTGTGTATTCCGGCAGCAGGACAGTGTATGTGGGACAATGGAAACTACAGTGTGTGTTCATGGTAAGAAAGGGACATGTAGTCACCATAATGATATAGTGTGTCCCTCATCTTAGAGGTGAAGAGGTCATACAGTATGTTCACATGTTGTTTGGTCAGTATTATAAACACCAAGTAACTCTCCATGCACATTCTCCACACCAGGATGTGTTACCTGTGTGGGTGGTGGCAGGAATAGCCACCCTTTTCCTGATGATGAAGTCCACCACTGCATCCAGAGAAAATGACAAACACAAGCAAAGGTCACCCTCAAGAAACCAATGCCCCAAAAATGTACGTTATAATAAATAAAACATTCCAGACTTACTTTCCAGCCGGGGGTTCAAGCACATAGTTTAAACCCTGGTGTTTCATGAAGCTCACTACAATAAGATAATATGTCCACTCAGGACAAAAATAACAGTTATAAAATGAGATGGGGACATTATTTTAATACAATTACATTGTGATGTAATGTATTAATGTTTTTCTGGCTAAATGATAGCTACATCTGATAAGTTCATTTCCAAAGCAATTTTATCAAACTATGTTGACTTAATTCTGAAATGTCTTTGTTTACCCAAAAGTACCAAATGTTTTTTTTTGTCTCTGGAAAATAATTCAGCCATTTGTTTAGACTACGATCGCAGTCCCTCAAATGAAGGAAATGTAAGAATGTGTTTAAATAAAGGCAGTTCTGCAACTCCTAGTTCATGTCCCAGTGTGCACAAAGTGAACGGGTATTGCATTCTCTTATCCATTCTTAAAAACAGATCTAATCGCAAACATTTCTGACAGAAAAAGAGGATAAACCAACTGATGAGTGATCAGATCATTACCTTGGCGTTTGTGGTGAGTGGGAGCAAAGCCTGAACTGGAGCTGGAACTGGCTGGACTGGGCTGCTCAGACTGGGAAAGAGAAGTGGAAAGTGTGAGGAAATCAAATACACATAAAACAGACTACATTTGGATCAATGCAGTTACTGTAAGACACGTATGCACATCAAAATGTATTTATGTGCAGGCATTTGCTCATTTTTGTACGGAGCCCTGGAGGGTTCATAGAGAAAAATAAATAAAATGAGGCCACGTTTTATTAATTCGTGAGCACGAGATGTAATTCGTGGCCTCAATTTAAAAAAAACGAGGCCACGTTTTATTAATTTGTGCGCATGATATACTTTCTCGTTCGCACAAGATACTTTCTCGTTCGCACGAGAAAGTGTCCGGTGCGCCAAGTAGGAAGTGGAGCGCACAGGAGACAACCGTTTCATTGCAGACTGTTATGTTTATGTGGGGAAATGACAGTGCATACATTATTTGAGATATATTTCAAACTCGGACTTCATTTTACGGCCAGAGGTGTAGAGCTATTTGTTTAAGCACCGGATTGGCAAAACAGGAGAGTCTGTGAACCAGTCTGCCTTCATCTATGAATTCATGTCCGTGACTCTCACAGTATCTGCTATCTGTGCCTTTTACGCACCGCCTTCACCTTCACTAGAACACACACACACACACACACACACACACACACACACACACACACACACACACACACACACACACACACACACACACACACACACACACACACACACACACACACACCACACACACACACACACACACACACACACACACACACACACACACACACACACACACACACACACACACACACACACACACACACACACACACACACACACACACACACACACACACACACACACACACACACACACACACACACACACACACACACACACACCACACACACACACACACACACACACACACACACACACACACACACACACACACACACACACACACACACACACACACACACACACACACACACACACACACACACACACACACACACACACACACACACACACACACACACACACACACACACACACACACACACACGTTTTGAAGGCGAGTTTACGCTGTTGACAGGAAGTTGTTGTTGCTATGGAAACGTGAAATGCTACATGATGTGTGTGTGTTCGGTGTATGTGTGTGTCCGACAGACACACACACAAACACACACACACACACCCTGACAGGACATCTTCTTCATAAAACGAATAATATGGTGTAATAATCGGGCAGTTTGATGTGTCTAACCATAAGAGATAATCGGGCAGTTCGATGTGTCTAACCATAAGAGATAATCGGGCAGTTCGATGTGTCTAACCATAAGAGATAATCGGGCAGTTCGATGTGTCTAACCATAAGAGATAATCGGGCAGTTCGATGTGTCCAACCATAAGAAAGTATCTCGTGCGAACGAGAAAGTATATCGTGGCCTCGTTTTATTTATTTTTCTCTCTATGAACCCTCCAGAGGCCTGTACTACGAAGCTGGTTCAACTTAACCTGGATATGTTGGAGTTAGCCGGTTGGCGTAATCCAAAACATACGCGCTGGCGCTAAACTGTACTACGACGCTGGTTATCAAGTGGATCGCTCAAGCCAGCCGTGTCCTATCTAGTTAGGTGCGCGTTCACATGAAAGGGGTGGTATTTGGAGCATTCGACCAATCACAAACACGGAGAAGCGTACTGACAGCGCAGCGTCATACTTCCTGAATGAAAAGTGAACTTTAATATTAGTCAAATATGAAGAAGTTAAACTTTAAACATCCATGACTTAAACACTTTACCCAGGATAAAAGCCACATAGCTGCACCTGCAAGGTGAATACAGCTGGTAAAAGAAAAAGTGTTTGAATGCGTACATTAACAGGTTTATGATATCACTGCCCCGTCTAAGACACGAGTGGATCTGACTTTAATTAGGAGAATTTGACTGGAGTGTTTCGTCAATTTAATGTGTTGCTTAAAACAATACTTCTGCATACAGTATGTGACACTGTGAGTGTTGCACGGCCAGATACGGCTCAGCTGACTCAAATAAGGAAATATATGATACATTATGATGTGATATGATATGAATGATAATGGGACACATCGACGTCTGCACTCACAGTGCCGCGGACTGTACTTAATGTTACTCTGATCAGGTTACTTATGTCGTGGCAGATATTTAAGTAAGCTTTCTTAACGCTAATGTTATAATAGTCAGATTGCTCTGAAGATGGGAGGGGATATTCTATTAATTTTCACGTTCACACAGTCAGTTGATTTTGGCCGGTCGTCTTTCCTGCAACGGCAGTTTCCTTTCTCCTCCTGTCATATGAATTGATCGCTTTAAACTCCGCACACGGAGCTCTGATTGGTCAGCAGGCAGTGCTTTCACTGAGTTGATCTCTTAGCCTGCAACCTAACCTGCTCCGGAGCAGGTTTGCCGCTCAGCATAAGTTACCATGGAAATCTAGCCTGCTAAAAAGAGAACCAGCGTCGTAGGACCGGAAAGCCCGAGATTTCCCTGAATTTAGCCGGCTAAGCGAAAATCCAGCTTCGTAGTACAGGCCTCAGGGCTCCGTATATTTGTTATTTCTTTTCTGGCAAAAAAAAAAAAAAATGAAACACCAAAACAGTTAGATAAGCAGGGTTGGAGGAAAAAAAAGATTTCAGAATAATATATATGATGTGTTTTATAATGATTGATCATGAAAGTGTTCTCAAAGCTGCTAAAGGTGCAGCTAGTTTGAATGACTTTGTATACTGCAGGGTAGCTTGTGAATTTACTCCAGGTGGAACTAAAGTCTGATTTAACACTTGATTATATTTCACATCATTCATCCACATCTGTAAAGTAACTAAAGGTATTAAATACATGCAGTGGAGGAAAAGTACACCATGTACCGCTGAACTGTAGGGGAGTACACAGTAGCAAAACATAGAAATACTCAAGTAAAGTAAAAGTCATGATTTTATTTGTTTTGCTCTGCCATCATCACATTAGTCTATCATTATTTGTTACAAAAAGTTAATATCTTACGTAAAATAAAGCTATGTTAATTCTGTTTTCATTTTGTTTAGTTTTTCCCTTAAAAAATAACCGATGAAAATACCGTTAAAGTACCGGATCGAACCAGAAAATGAGCATAAGATGTCCTGAGTCAGCACTTTGAAGTCGTCTTGGTGTGTCACAGCTGTTAGCCAGCCAACACATCCACACACACTCTACTTCTGGTCCATCTGAAAAGAGCCAGGCTACTTTTACTACTTGAGCCTCAGGTCTACATCTACCATCATAAATGACTGAGTCTAATACAATGCCACACGTTTGCAGCTAGATTTAGTGTCCAATTGGCAGGTTTATCACTAGTTGCGGGGATGCCCAGAGAGCCCCAGGGTTTCATTCCTGCCACGTCACAATTGTTGTCAGTCTGAACACAAGAACTTCTGGTTGCTCTTTTTAAGTCATTGTTTCAATCTTGTAACTATTACAAAGTTTGCATGACAAAATATTTGTCTGTTTCTTTTGACAACACGTTTAATAAACAGCTCATATCACGATAAATATTGTTTAGCACAATATAGTTGTGTGATATATTGTCATAAATATAAGCTTGGCAAGTCGGAGTTTTTAAAATGTCTAATACACAGGAAAACTGTTAAGCGTCAAACTCAATATTAAAATAGACAAGAAATAAGAGAAAAGAGACTCTAAAAAAAGAAACTGTTAGACATTTATCCAAGGTGTGAGAACGGGCAGAGATCTAAGAGATCACCACATTCCTGACATTTGTACTTCTCACATGCTTGGATACACTTTAAAAGAAAGCAGTCTTCCACGTGTGAAGATTTCAACAAACCACATGGACTAGCAAACATCAGAAGATGTGCCTCATAATATTCTCCCGGGCACCTGAGTGAAGCCTCAAGTGCCATTTGAAACCGAAGGGCAAATACACTGTAGTGTAGCAGGTGATTTAAAAAGGTCACATATTATGCAAAATGCCCTTTTTCATGTCTTTTTAACATACAGTATGCAGTACAGTGTATATGTCTCCCCTGTGTGTTAAGAGATCTGATCCACATGTTTAAACTCCTGTCTAAAACAGAGCGAATCAGGTTGGAGATCCAATTGGACGTTGTATGGTGTTTTTGTGTATTAGCCATACTGAAACCATGATAACCCTCACCCACCTTCCCAATGATCGTACACTCTTGTACAATACTTTGCCACTGCAGGAGGCAAACTAAATACCCATCACAAGTTCTGCTTTTACCTTCAATGTTCTCCTGCGACCTAATAGAGTGGTGATGCTAAATTCAAGTCTCAGGTACCTTTTGATTGGTCGAACTCATGTGATGTCACATAACGAGAACAAATTCAACAATAAAACCAACCCTTAAAGGTGGGGTAGGTAATTTTTGAGAAACCGGCTCGAGATCGCTAGAATTTGAAAATACACAGCCGGAACAAATCTGCCACTTCCTTATAGAGCCCCTCCTCCAACACACACGAACGCGCACATGAGCAATGAGGGCATGAGATAAGTTTGTGCACAGATGGAAGGCTGACAGGCAGGTAAGCCATCCAGTTATTTTAGCCGGGCCGGCTAAAAGATTGGTCGTGCTTTTTACAGTACTACAGCTTCCACAGATGACATTTTTTTATGGATTTGTTGTCAAAGCACTTCAGATATTCATTGCTATCAGGATGTTAAGAGCATTCCATGGAATATAACAAAAAGTGTATCTCGAGCCGGTTTCTCAAACTTACCTACCCCACCTTTAATAGTGTTGCAACTCTCTGGTTTCAGTGTCTGTTTTAAGGTTGAACTTAATCCGTTGTGGTTTATATACAATATCCTACGGAAGGGCAATTAGTATATAATAAATCAGATGATCGGCAAGAATAATAGACAGAATAATTTATAATCAAAGTAATCGTTGGATGCAACCCTACAAAGAAAAACACCATAAACAACAAAACAAAGACTAATGGGCCACATTAGTATTTTGTGAAGGGAAGACATTTCAAAAGGAGATGTGTCAGCGCACAGAGAAAACAGAGGGAACAACATGATAGAAAATAAATGATAAGAAATTCACACAGTGGGGCAAACTGAACAAAGTGGTTTGAGGTGCTGTTTTGGGATATCTGTCAGAAAATCAACAACAATATGAATGCTACTATGTGGCTTATAGTGTAGTATATAATAGTTTGAACAGGGTTTCTATAGAGGACTATCAAAGGAACTGATCAGACCATAAATTCATCCTGAATTGAAACATTTTAAATACTTATTCCCTGCTTCTGCCTGCTTTTCTATTCGCTCTGAGAGCAACGGACACACATACCCACACACACCGACCAACGTTTTTTTTTTTTTTTTTAAATTGACCTATGGGCAGTCAGTTAATTGCTAGACAAACATAAGTAACCAGACATTATGTTGCCTTTTTAAGTGTGTATTTGAAAAGTCCTAATTAGGTAAAATATAGCAGAACTCAAGAGAATATACAGAAAATGTACATTTAAAAGTATTTCAAAGTTAGATAAGGGAAGCCCCATGTTGCCTACTGTTAAGTTCTTATAGAGGAAAAGGAGTATAAGAGATGTGACAGGTAGAAGGTACTGTGGTATAAACACAATATGCTCTCATAGTGGGTTTACCCATTCAGAACAACATGTTGTGCAAGTTTAAAACAAGTCATTCTAAAGGGAGTTTAAATGCAATTTTTGTCAATATACAAACCCAAATGTATATAAAAGGAGGCTGTTGCCGTGGTACAGAACTACAAAGTAGCGAGAAGCGACCTCAAGAAGAAACATGAGATAAAAAGAGAAGTGAGAACAAAAGACAGAGCGACTTCAATGTCTGTCACCTCCTGCCAACAAACAACACACAGCTGGTCTGTTGGTTTATGGGACAGCTTCTTCAGGGAGCCATCAATCTTACCAGCACTCCTTTTAAGGGCTTTTGTCCTGCTTTACTCAAAGCCACCAAAGCTGCCCTCTTCAAAGACGATAAATAGTCTTTAGTCGCAGTGTGTTGGCATCAATCTGGCTTCTTCTCTTAACTCTTGGCACAGTTAGGAGGGCCAAAAGAGAAAGGCCGGCAAACAAGACTAATCTGACCAAGAGCTTTTGGTTAGCTTGTCTAATTCAGCAGGGGCTGTCCAAACAAAACCGTTTTATTGTGAATGAAAAAGCCTAGAAACATTCCTCATTCATCTTTACACCAAGATGTCATTGAAATGTATCAGCTCAATGTTCCTCATGCAGTTCACATATTCATGCTTTTCTCAACTGTTTCAATCTTGTTCTATTCTTCTGTATTTTTCTCAACTTGTGTACCTTGAAGAAACCCAGGGAATTCTGGGTTTTTCAAACCAGAATTGTTTGCTTAGTTTTCTTTGATGTGTAAAATTGTTTAAGTTTATCCTTAAGTTAAGGTCATATAAGCTAAACTTGAATGAAAACTTAGAATAAAATAATTTATTTAAAATCTTTAATGTCCATTTTATAACTTACATTATCTATTCATATTTCTTTCAATGTAATACTATTTTTTTCAGTTTAAGGGAGAATAATGTATGCAGAGGTTAGACGTGGCATTTCTTTCTAAATGGTACTGTTTATAAAGAGGCTTAGAAAATATTAATGCAATAAAATATTTGTTAGTCATTCCTTACAATACCAAGCTTATCATGAAAATATGTTAAGCTATCTACTGCACATGTCTCTGTGATGATGTGCATGTTATGAACAAGGGCCATATGTCACACACTTGTGCAAGTGACAGATCACTCGGCTCCAGTGTGCTAAAGCAAAGTTCTCATGCTAACAGCCAGCCTGCTTTCCCTTCATGTCATCACCTACTCCACATGTCCTCCTCTCTGCTGTTTCTGGCCCCGCGCTCAGAGGAAAACAGCAAGATCAAACAAGTGGTCACATGAGAAATGAGAGCGGCGCTCGGCCACCCGAGTTGCTAGCCTGGGGAGAATCAAACACCTGGCATTTGTCACCCCACATCCCTTTTACAAGCAACTCGACCCCCAGTCTCTGTATGGGAAAGCTGAAAGGCATTTACATACAGAGCAGACAAAAACACAGGTTCTGCTAGTGCTAAGTAATAACTCCCCTGGCTAAACAAGCTGCTCCTACGGAGGAAGACACACAAAGACCCACACTTTATACAAGCTGTAGAGAATAGAAATGAAAATACCATCGCATAAAAGAAAAGTGCTCAAAGCACGGGGATTCAGACCTTTCTTCACCCTTTTTCTTCCTTCAAAAGCAAAAAGGATTAAAGGGGAACTCTATGCTATTTACTGCCGCCTCTCCCTTTTCTCCTCAGGTGTTGTAAAACCATAAATCTTTCTTGTCCACTATTTGGCTTTAAAACAGCCCGTCTTTATGGGGAGGTTCTCCACCAAATGTGCGTGGACCAGGCAACCCAGTCAAATGTCAGCCTCTTCATGAAAGGAGCCACTGTAGTTTCTCTAATCCTGCTCTTGATGTGGAGGCAGAGAGAAATACTTTGTATGTTAGTAAGTGAGCACATGCTACGTCCACAATAAACTCATTCCAATACCAACAGACTTTGAGTGTACAAAAACAGTTATTTGCTGTTAATTCAGAAACAAAACGTCATCTTGATAAAATCTCTCCTCAGTTGTGTCCTCTTCCTGTTCGGACACCCAGTTGAATGTAGCTGAACTAGTTCATGGTGCCGACCCCTCCCTCCAGTTCCCCTGCCCAGACCTCCAAGAGGATTCTCTCTGTCATCTGGTTTTATAGCCTTTCCACACTGAGGAAGGACTGACCACCAACAAACCCCTGCACCCCCTCCAAGAATTGGATATCTTTCCACAACCCCCTCCCTTCAACACTTGGTCCAGTAAAGTGGCCTGAATGCTCAGATCAGTGAGTTCAATGTTCTGGACTTGTACCAGGGTCAGACAGCTGCTTATTAAACCTCCGTGATGATGACAGGATATGGGTGTCCCTGCTCTAAGCAAACAGATTCATTCAGTCTGGTGCTTCACTAAGCTAGCAGACACCAGAACAACATTTCTTATACTTTTGGTTGCAAAAACATTTGACAGTTCAAAAAGAGGTTGTACTTACATCTGATTTGTGGGACTGGTCCTCCATATCAGAGTCATTGTGGTCCCCCAGGTCCTGGAACGGGGGGAGTGTGGACACCTTCCTGCGCTCTGCCTCTTCAACCTCTGGTCGCAGTTTACTTGTTCTCATCTGCGATCTATCCTTCAAGACTTTCTTATCCAAATGTGGAGCGTCTGACCCCAACGTCTGCTTCCCTGAAGGATCAGCAAATCCCTTTTTACGCTTTTTGGTCACGAGATCGTCAGCGTCGGAGCTGGACAGACGCTTGTTTAGCCCCGACCCAGGGGTCATCCCCTCAGTCCGATGCCCCTTGGACAAAGACTTGGGTTCCTTGAAGCCCATCTTAGGATTGATATCTCTAAGTGGCTGGTTCTCTTTGGGTTTCCTGGAAGGTTCTTTGGGGACTTTGCTGGATTCCCAGCCAGAGTCTCTGAAGGCACTTTTGGGCTCTTTCAAGTCTTTTGGAGGCTTGTCTTTGTGGTCCTTGGAGGGTTTGTGGAGTTTGGAGAAGCTGATGTTGTTGGTGCTGGTGGTTGTTGCCGTGGTGAGAAGGGTGGTGCTGCTTCCTTTGGGGCCATCCTGTGGATCAGAGCCAACAAATAAGAGATCCTACATTGTTTCAACACATCCTACAGAATGAAAGACTGTACATCAGGATTTAGCCTAGCAAGAATTCTAAACGTATGGCTAATGTTCAAACTACATGAATGCAAGTTAAGTCATGTTTGAAAAAACACAAGATATTCTAACTAACATTGTGGTGTTAGAGCAGAATCACACAGAATCATCTAAGCTACAGAAGAATACACTTCAGCTCAAAGGATTATGCAAAAGGATCCTTTAGGTCCGTGGGCAAACATAATAGGGCAAGCACATAATTAGCCACTGAAAAATAATGTCTAAGGATTGGTATGGACTGGTCTTGTCTTAATAATACCTAAAGTAAGTAAATTGCCACTGAATATATCCCAATAACCCAAAAGAGGAAAGACATGTTTTCTAATCTCTGAAAATGTCTCATGTGATCATGTTTCCTCTTGTTGTGTTGACTGCACTTTAGACTATGTGTAGTTCTTGTAAAAAGCACATTGCCAAACAACAAAGCGAGCAAAAGCTATGTCAAATGAAGATGAATGCTCTGCCTTTTACATGAGAGGAAACATGCATGCTGCCCTGTGAGAAGAAGAAGAAAATCAAAAGGGTGTTCTCAGTCTATCTATGGGCTTAAAGAGCAAACTCAGGACTTCTTTTCAGTGGTGTTGTTCGTGGCGTGAGGGGGTCTTTTCAAAAGCCACACATGCGCAAACCTTAAAAGTGGAGCAGAGGGCAATGCGGAGAAAGGAGGAAATGCATTCCTTTTAACGACGGGGCCCATTTGTCCCTGGGTCTCACCTCCAGCCTCCTTGTCAATATTTCATCAATGCCGTAAACCCATTAAAGCAGTCTAGACGACGGGGAGTGTTACAACTCTGCCCAAGCACCTCTAAAACCTTTCATTTTGCCTATCTGCTGGTGACCCCGGGACCTCAGGATGTAAAGCTGCCGATTCCTCCTGACCTCCAGCAGCTCCTCCACCGCCCCCCTCACAGGGCAGCCCAACATAAAAAGGCTTTAGTGCTCTGGACAGGACACAGCGCTCTGACACGGCTAAACCTTTCAGCACCGTGACATTGGCAGGTTAGCAAGTGGCACAAGTTCATGTAAATGACTGAAGGGCGTATAATATTAATAACACTGTCAGCACATCATCATTACAGTCATATAATGAGTATGTTCTTTACTTTCCAGAGATGCATCGTTTTGAAGAGAACAAGACGTCTGGATCAAGCAATTTACAACTTATAATATATTTTTGGATGATTTTATTGATAGCAGTAGTAGAAGTAACATTTAACCCTCAAATATACTATATTATATTGTATTCAATAAAACAAAAGTTAGTGAAATACTTCAGGCATGCTTGTGAAATTAAATGATTGTAATAAATAACAGATAGAAACTAAAGTGTCTGAGACCTTTTGTCCTATAGCCATGATTTATTACAACAATATCTAATGTGTTATAGTACCAGTGCAATCATTCTCAACATGTGATGGAGAAAGAGAGGGGTTTGCAAGTAGAGCGAGAGCGTGTGTGTGTGTGTGTGTGTGTGTGTGTGTGACCTCCTGCTCTACAAGTAATTCATCACACACACAGTGTTTAGACTGGAAACTGTTTCCATGTGAAATGGGCCTCTCCTAACGTGGCTCTTAAATGACACTATTTAAAGGGACTAAAAATACACTTAATGGAAACATCATGCTGGCTTATAGACAGACAGGATTCTGATCAGGGCTGCAACATCTGCCTGCTCTTTTTAATCACTTTTAAAAACTCACTTTTTTAGAATTGCTTTTATGTGATTCTACTTTTAGTCTTATTTAATTTTTCATGAATTCTCTTTCTTTGTATTTCTGTTTTATTATTTGCTTTAATTAACTTCTCATGTTTAGTTTCAGTTTTTTTTAATTCATTTGCTGTCCGTGGATTTGTATGTTCAAGCACTTTGTAAACTATGTTTTCAAAAGGTGCTATATAAATAAAGTGTATTATTATTATAATTATGATGATGATGATTCAGTGCTGCACACGATAATGTCTCAAATCTAACAGGTAGCTTCTAAAACTTATATTGTCAAACATTAATGCTTCTATGCATAAGAAGTCTTCAAAGGACATGTAGGAAAATAGATTCCCAGCATGCTTCTCTGTCAGTGGAGTCGGTGCTTATGGCTCAGCAGCCAAGATTTAGTTTGCTTAAGCCTTTGAAATCTTTGAGTTTAAATTTCCTGGAGGTCTTTGAACCTGCCGAATATGTGGGGGATTAAAGCCTGCATACTTTTGAAGAAGTGAAATATTACAGAGCTGGGTGTGGCAGAGAGTGGGTGGGGGGGGGGCGGGGGGGGAGTGTGACCTGGAAACAACGACACTGACCTTTGACCCGTGAAAGCTTTTGCTCTTCTTTTGGTCCAAGAAGGTGGATGTCAGCGAGCTGGGGAGTGAAGGCAGCTTCATGTGCTGTCCGAACAGAGAGGTGGAGCCCTCCTGCATCACCATCACCTGCAGGAGGACAACCAGAAAAACACATATTCAGAGGACTCTTTGCTTTAGATGGACTAAAGGAAAATAAGATTTGAGTACCCAAAAGTGGCCTTGAATGCTGGGTCTGATGCATTAGTTGATTTGATAAGACATTCTTTATCCACATTTTTATTGGAATATATTTTCCAAGGCTTCCTAAAGTGTTAGCTATTGTGATTCCTATTCTTTCAGTCGCAATAGAAAAGACTTCAAAAACGTTTTGAAATTGAAAAACAAGTTTAACTGTTTCTTCAAAGGCACATGCATTCACTAACATTTCAAAAGAATCGATTGGAACATTTTTGCCAATTCATATTAAGACCTGACCTCATCACACAAAGAATAGCCAATCTAATCAATCTTGAATCGTTTAAAAAGCGTTATAAATCAGCCCCCTGAGACACATTTTGTATGTGTGATATTGTACTTCATAAATACACTTTGCTTGATGGTCTAGTAGAAATAAATGTAGGTTTTGTTATTAGCCTCAAGAAAGACTTAACAGTAATTAATTAGCGCACTGGCCTCTTCAAAGCCAAGAGATGCAAATGTATTCACAGCACACACTTTAACATCTAAAGCGGTCTGATTTGCTGGAATATCGTGCAGTCATTAGCTGGAACCATTGCCAGAATATGCAAGTAAAGACAACACAGCTGCCTCACTGTGTCTGTGCTGCAGTGCCGAGTGGCTGGACTTCACCCAGCCAGGATAAAAGGACTGGGTTTGTTACACATAACCAATTACAAATCACTTTGGAGAGATGTCCAATGCTGTTAGCATTACACAAGTTTCCTCAGTTAACCCAAAGCATGTTGGAAATCTTACATTTGAGTCTTCTGAACTTTGTTTGTTAGGATCCCGCTGCTGTTAAAGAGAGGGACAACAGAACATATGAATAATCAGATCACAATCTATAAAATGCAAATCATTTTAAGTTATAATAAAACAATAATCTCCACAACACTGAACAAGGTGTGGTGAAGGAACTTGGAATTGAATACAAATGTACAAATGATATACTAAGATCTTTCAGTAGTGGAAATTAAGAATGATGGTTTCGATATGGTCCGTGTCAGCCATTGAGCTCTTCTTGAGGCTAAGAAGAGGGTGCAGGGCAAAGTAAATAGAGAGCACTTAGCTCCAGTCATAAAACTTCCACTACAGGGGTCCTCTGGCAGAGGGCCAAAAGACTGAACACTGAGGAAGCAACTATTGATGTCCCAAACCCATCCTAAGGATTATATCAGGACATGTTTGGGGAATTATAGACATTGGCTAAATAAAATAACATATGTGAACTGCTCTATCGAAATCAGTCGGAAGTCGCAACGGCTCATTTCAAAATAAACGTGGATTTGCGTAAAAAAATAGTTTTTCGGGGTTCGGGTGTTTTGTTTGATTTTAAATAAACAAAGTCTTGGCTTTCAGAATATGAAACTTTTATTTCCAAAATCACACGATAAATACATGTTTGAAGCTTGTAAAGGGAAGATGACGGCTCTCACTCGCACCCTGCTCTTCCGGTGCGCCGCCCCCCTCCCTCCAGCTGAAATTATGAATGTAAGGCGTATAGTAATCATAGATAACACGGTAGGGTCCGTTACAGTTTGTTTTCATCTGATTTCAAATAAACAAAGTCTTGGCTTTCAGAATATTAAACTTGTTTCGACAAATTCAGATGATAAATACAACTTTGAAGCTTGTAACGGCATAATTACAAGCGGAGAACGGAGTAACTTGACGTCACAGCAGGCATAACAACAGCCGGTGTTTCTCGTGAGTGTTTTCCCCGGGAAACAAACACATACACACAAACACAAAAATACACACACACACACACACTCGCGAGCTTCCCCCAGACCAGTAATCCAAACGAAAATATTTTCCCTCCGTTATTACTTTGATCATTTGCTCCGCTAATAACCAATCAGATCGATGGATTCCAGAGAAGAGGAAACTTTAAAGGCCTTTTTCTCAAAACGATGACTCGGTGACAGTCATTATATAATGTGACATATTTTGCTTAATATTTGGAGTACAACAACAATCCTGATATCATTAGAAAGCTAGGAATCTCCTCTTTCCAACAATGTATACAACTCAAAATGTGTCTTCGGGTCAATGCGACTGATTTCGATAGAGCAGGTCACATATTTACTTGACAGTATTCTGCTTGTGTTGCAGTGTAAAGGTCTCATTAACAACTAAACCAGCATTTTGCTCCATATGCAAGTACAGATTACAGTGTGTACATGCGAACCACTATTTGGTTGCTCTGGGGATAAACTGTCCTTTTACAGAAACCCAATATTGTACATTAAAGAGTGGTGCTGTCTTCACTCAACTTTCTCCATATCTTCACCAGAACAATCTTCTCGACACCCACCGGCACGTTTTAAAAAGGCGATTTAACTCAGAACGCCCTACTTGATGTCACAGAGGAACTCCACACTGCCAAATCAGCATTCCTCTCCCCCATCCTCCTGTTAGACTATTCAGCAGCATTTGACAAGAGCTAGCAAGCTCTCAACTTTCCCTCTTCACATTCTACCTCAAGGAACACAATAACAGTACTTCTTGGATTTACTCACTAGTGGGGTCCCCCCAAGGTCCTGTTCTCGGTCCCTTCCACTTATTCATTCATACGGGAACACTTTCACTCAGTCTTAAAGACAGGCTGACAGTACAAATGTTTGTCCGTCCAACTATCTGAATTGCCTACAAAATAACTAATGTCCATTCCACATCCACTACATAGTATATCAATATACTCCAGCCCGTACACAAAGCTCTGCCAAACGAAAAGCTACCCTTTCACTACAAAGTGTAAATCTGTTCAAACAGCAAGTTGGCCTTTAAATATGGTAAAAACAATCTATTTTAAAGTTAGAACCTATAGCAGCTCAGCATCATTGCTGAAGTTGTTTTTGGATTGTATTCACATGTTTGAAAGCACTTATTGTAAGTCACACAAAAGCCTCAGCTACATGACTACATAATAATGCAATGACACCATTGTTGGCATAATACACAGATTCACTAAGCTCTGACAGTCAGAAAGCTGTTGTTTCTCCTTTCTTATTGGCAAAGAGCAGCGTATCGAACACTCGGCTAGTAACTTCTCGTTTTTATGAGTTGCAGTCACTTTCACCGCTTAAAATGTCACATGTGACGGCCAGGTCATATTCCTAATATGTTAATTCAGCGAGTGACTGTATGTCAGACCAAACATGGCTATTGTTTGGTTTGTGGATTTCTGGGGTTCATGAACCAAGAACTTGAATATTTACAAAAAACATCTTGTGAAAAGCACGGATGAATCTATTAAGTTACATACTTTATCAACATTAATGTTGATATAAGATTAGACTGTCAATACCAAATTACAAGTAGGAACTGGGACAAAAAAACGTTATCAGGACACCCTAGCTGCATCTAAAATGTTTGGGACTGAACCTTTCCAGGAGAAATACAGGGCTTCAGAAAAGTTGCTGTTTTCCATTAAGACATGTCACTCAAGTCCCAGCCCCACCCCTCGCTCTCTTACCCCTCCAGCTTTCAGCAGCTTATTGCGAAACTCCTCTGTTGGGCTGTTGAAGGTGAGCTTCTCACAGCGGAGATGATTGACAGGTGGGTGGCCGTCCAGATGGAGGAAAAGGTCGTAATCAAAGCGAACTTTCTTCGGTTCTTCCTGAGGAGAAGCGATCATCAACCCAGGGAGGGAAAAAAGAAGGCAGTCAAAATCAGTTTGTCAGGACCTAACTTCACATCACAAGGTTGCATCACTAGAAGACCACAATTAGATTTTTGTTGAGACCATTTGTAACTTCCTCTTGTTCTCTACAATGATAGAATTAGGTGTGCATTTACTCTGCATGGTTATGTCATGGCACAACCTTATACACAGTCTCGAAAAAATACTTCTGGACTACTGGAAATGTTTATAAAAGCTTCAGAATCCTATTGGGAACACTGCAAACTGAGCACTGAGTCTGGGTTCGTAATCATGCTGGAAAATAATATATATTAATGCAGAAAGTGAAACTCAAGTCCATGTGGTTTGTCTATCATTTAGTGTCCACGACTTTAATGAAGCAAACTCAACATCCAAAGTTAAAAGCATTAAGTGTTAATCTGACCATGGTCAACTTGAGAGATATTGTTTACCACAGTTTGGGTAATTTTACAACAAAATTGTCTCAGAGAAATTTAAAAAAGAATCCCATAATAGGCAACAACGATGACTCAAATATCAGAATTATAATAATTAAAAAGTCTCACTGCATAAGAAGAATGTGAAAATCTAATTCTGAATAATAAAATGCAAACAAAAAATGTTTTCTAAAACAATTAAGATTTAGAAGGGCTATTCTTCATTGAAGAATTCATTTCTTCCATATTAACAAATATTTTGCTTAAAAAGCTTCCTGGTGGACTAGGTGATTAAAACGGTAGCCACATTATTGCAATATCTTCAACCCTCTTTAATATCATTTTTTTTATTGAAAAAAGCAATAACATACATTTTTAAAGCCATAGCATTCGGTAGTAAAAAAAACCTGGTGGACCAAAAAGATTAAAAGAGACTGAGAATCAAGCAGGTGTTGTACCTTATTTCTGAAGTAAACTTCAATAGGTAAGATGAAGCCTGCGTATCCAGACTCCTCCACTTTGTACGGGGGATCCTTGATAACTGAAATGAAAGAGAAAATCACCATTCAATTAAAGGTCATCAACGCAAGGCTAACAAAACAGAGGGAGTTTTCATAGAATCAGTGTTAAGTGTGTGTGTGGTGGTTGCTAAGGGAGAGTTGTTCACATAACACATTATTATTACATTTTCTGGAAGCAAAAACCAGGTAAAGAAGGGTATGGAATACAACGACTGTTGCCTTTGCGACGGAAAGTCTTAATGAACTGAGCCATTAAAGCTGCATCGCCATTCTCCTGAGATCTCATTAACTCCCATTTCTATTGTCTATCAACACAAGAGCTGAGTTAAATTAGGAGCAGGGCCTTCAAACGGTGGGAATCGACCCAGTTCACCACAAGGTGAAGCTTCCCACTTGGGCCTTTGGAGACAAACAAAGTCTACGAGAGCTCAGGTGGTCCTCCCTGGAGGAGTGTGTTTGTCAGCCTCTCTCCCAGTGGACTCTGCACAAAAAGTACCAATTAAGTCCATGTGGAGAGCTGAGTGTGTTTACTGGAAGTAGAAGTGAAGCAGGTCTTAGCTTGGTTCATCTTCAGATAATGTCACTGTGATGCAAAGTCTGAATGGAATATATAGAAGATGGGGGGACAGAGCCTTCTCCGTCGCTGCCCCCCCCTCTTGTACTCACTCCCCAAACACATCTGTGACCACCTCAATCTCACCATGTTCAAATCACAAATCAAAACTCCCCTTATCAGAACTGCTTTTAATCTGTAATTAATGTTGTGATTTATATATATATATATATATATATATATATTTTTTTTTTTCCTGTATGGCGAATACAGCTGCTTTATTTATGTCTGTATGAAGTTGATGTGAGTGTGCAGGGAGCAGCTACAGGTTAGCTTAGCCTGATCGATCAGTGGCCTGTACGAAGATGCCAGTTCAACCCTGTATAGCTCTGAGTTATCTGGCTTAACTAACCCTAACAAGCGAGATCTCGCTAAGCGGTCCTACGACGCTGGTTATCAACTCAGTAAATCAACCCAGGGTTTCTCTGTCCAGCGCATTCACGTGAAAGGGGCGGGCGTACTGACCGACCAGAGGCCTGTACTACAAAGCCGGATTTTCGCTTAGCGAGGTAACTTCAGGGTTAACTCTGAGTTTCCGGTCCTACGACGCTGGTTCACTTCTTACCGGGGTAGATCTCCATGGTAACTTATGCTGAACGGCAAACCTGCTCCGGAGCAGGTTTGGTTCCAGATAAGAGATCAACTCAGTGAAAGCACCGCCTGCTGACCAATCAGAGCTCAGTGTGCGGAGTTTAAAGCTATCAAGTCATATTACAGGATAAAGGAAATATAGTTTAAACTGCCGTTGCAGGAAAGATGGCCGGCAAAAATCACCGACTGTGTGAACGTGAACATTAATAGAATATCACCTCCCATCTTCAGAGCAATCTGACTATTATAACATTAGCGTTAAGAAAGCTTACTTAAATATCTGCCACAACATAAGTAACCGGATCAAAGTAACATTACGTATAGTCCGCGGCACTGCTGCAGACGTCGATGTGTGTCCCATTATCATTCATATCACATCATCAATGTGTTGCTTTTATCCTGGATAAAGTGTTTAAGTTTAAAGTTTCACTTCTTCATATTTGTCTAATATTATAGTTTACTTTTCATTCAGGAAGTATGACGCTGCGCTGTCCATGTTTGTGATTGGTCAAATGTTGCTAACCCCGCCCCTTTCATGTGAACGCGCACTCAGCCGGACAGAGAAACCCTGGCTTGAGTTACCGAGTTGATAACCAGCGTCGTAGGACCGCTTAGCGAGATCGCGTTTGTTAGGGTTAGTTAAGCCAGGTAACTCAAACATATCTAGGGTATGTTGAACTGGATTCGTAGTACTGACCAACCTGGTCTCACCAAAATACGTGAAATGTACACGTCTCCTTAACACCGCATTACGTGGTGGAGACACGGAATCTGCTAAATGACGTGTCGGCACCACGGAAACAACCCCAATATAAAGTGAATGAGGATCCTTTTTCGTGGTGGACACACGACTTTCTGCAACGTCCCGCAGTGAGCTTAATGTTGTTTTCTACTATATAAAATGTTTTTAAAATGTACTTTACTAGTAACTCACGGGAGGCTTCTTTTATTTAATTTGTATTCATAATCATTTTTTGTATTCGTCAGAATGTATTATGGTGCATTAGTTACTAAAAACAGTGCGTTGTGTGTAATACAACTGTGATTTTTATTAAATTATTTTGTTTTTAAGGAAGGCCAGAGCTTCAGCTGTGTCAAATAGATTGTTCCCTTTAGATTACGTTATTTAAAAGACAATTATATTCCTATTTGATCATTTCCCCCCTTATTGTAGGCTAATATTAGTCATTTGAAAAATATATAATGATGATAATGGTGAAAACCAGTAACCATCATCATTCCGATCATGTGGGGGGAGTGGTTTTCACCATCATTATATATTTTTCAAATGACTAATATTAGCCTACAATAAGGGGGGACATGATCAAATAGGAATATAATAAATAATTTAATACAAATCACAGTTGTATTACACACAATGCACTGTTTTTAGAGAACAAAAAATCGTAACTAATACATTCTGATGAATACAAAAATATATTGTGAATAAAAATAAAATAAAAGAAGCCTCCCGTGAGTTAATACAAGCTATAAAGTACATTTTAAAAACGTTTTATAGAGTATAAAACATTAAGCTCACTGCGGGACGTTGCAGAAATTCCGTGGTGCCGACACGTAATTTAACAGATTCCGTGTCTCCACCACGGTGTTAAGGAGATTGGCCAGGTTGGATTGGGAAGGCGGTCAGTCTCCTATAAATGTGGTTGGGAAGAGAGGGGAGGGGGGCATTTTGTGTTTGTTCCTTGCTGGTGAACGCAGCACCAGGCATGACGTTTTGTGTTCCTGTAAAAGAATATGGAAGGTTAAGAAATAAAATGCCTGTTTATTTTTGAAAGAAAACCCTCTCTCCACGTATCGTTTTTTCACCTGCACCTCACATTGTAACAATACAGTACGTGACTAAGGCCCAATCCCAAACCACTCCCTCGACCCTACCGTGACGGAGTGAACTCCGTCTGTAGCCACACTCGCAGCTGAATGAAGTTCCCTCCTGTCAGATGGAGGGAGTAAATACAGCGGCAAGCTTTGGGACAAACTCCCCTCTCTCCGGCAGAAACAGGAAATGCCGTAACTGTATGTAACAACGGTTTCAAATCAGCATCTCTTAGACAAAACATGTAAATTAATAACTCAAATAAAACTCCAAACATCTTTCATTGTGTTACTTTTTTGTAAAGCTCTTTTAGTTTTAAACCTGATGTTTATAAGCTTCTTAGTTTTTGCAACAGTCTGTAAATATACACAACTTTATAATAAAATGAGCACATTGACCTTTTTCTAGACTAAACACAGGTAAACTGTGACTTTTTTTACATGGAAATGATTTTTTAAGATTGACAAACATCATATGTGTAATTCATGGCACAATTCAAACGGGATCGAAAGATACGTTTTCTCTCCCCATTGACTTCAATGCATAATTTTTCCGAAATAAGGTCCCATGGGGCGGAAGTAGATGGGCGTGACTTCGCCACTCTATTGGGCCTAAGTGTTGCACGGCCAGATACGGCTCGAGAAGCTGACTCAGATGAATGAGGCGAGTAAACACAGTTGACAGCCGGCGTGAAACTCGAGATATTATTCGCATCGCGTCCGGTGTGAACGCACCATCATTACAAGTATTATATAATTACAAAATAAAATCGCCACTCTCAGTACAGCGCCACTTTCCGAACAGGAAATGCACGCAAATACAATCTTTTATATTATTAATAATATATATACATATATATAAAATAAAGACATCTTGTATTTTAGTTACACCCGCTATTGATTAATTTAGTCAACATTGGACCTTGACACCGTCCACATAGCTATAGTGAAATAATATCATCGAAAACATTAAGCCTCTTTGATTTAATAATCGGAGCTGAAACCTCTCTGCTATCTCATATAACACACACTTCCTTATTTATCTTTGAATAATAATACCGTAAAAATAAAGACGACTATACTACGGTCCTTCGGTCCTGAGATTAGCGCCTGCAGGCTCCATGGACCTGTCAGCTCCGGACAGCGCAAAATGCGTATATGAAGTGCTACGTCATGAACGCAAGAACTGGCTGCCTCGCTAGACTGGCTGCCTCCGCTCTGACCTCTCAACTGTATGTGTGCATATAACTGTGTGTGTATTTTAATGTATGTGCATGTTGTAAAAAGTGTGTTCTGTGTGTACTGTATGACCTGTATAAGAACGCATGTGTGTGTACGACAGAGTGGAAATTGAATTTCCCCCTCGCGGGATTAATAAAGGTCTATCTTCTTCTTCTTCAGTGGTTTTAAACGGAAGACAAATATGTGTGGATCAAAAATACATATGTCAAACTTTTTTCTGTATTTGGATTTTATTTACATGTCTATGAAACGGAACACATTTGTGTGTGCATTGAAAAACAGTGTGGATCCGGAAATACAAGTGTGACTCCTTTTGTGGATCATGAAATACAAGTGTGAATCCTTCTGTGTGCATGTGTGTATTATGAGACTGTTCTGAGCCCATACATTACCATTATACTACGGTACCCAAACTGTTATAATCAAAGTTAGATAATGACATGGTAAGTCTGATACTAATGACTGTTTTTATTACAAATGAAAATTATAAATATTTTAAAATCCAGTTAATTGTGAGGTTAGTTGGCTGAAATTACTTAAAATAACTAACTCATTAATTGACAAATAATGAAGGCTTCTAATGGCATTACACAACTTTGATTGATATAGACAATGTACTCATGACCTCGGACACATGTCACACTTAATGTTTACTTACTAGCTTTTTATTGAACGTTAATCCCTATTTCAATGTCTTTCTCAGCTAGATTTTTGTTGTGATTATCACAATTCTCCTCTTTT